CAACAGTGACAGCATATGCTTTGTGTCTGCACTTGTATGGTTACGAGACTCCTGCAGAGGTCATGGAGACAATCTACAAAAAAGAGCTTTGAAGCATTTGGTATCTGGACTTTAAGGCAAACACAGTTATTTTCAAAGTGTGACCAGGTCGATTTAGAGCCTCACTGTGCACCCTTACACTTAAATCTATCCAAGCAGCAAATAAAAACACAACCCGAGTGTTAAAATAATAGCAAACAAAGTGCAAAATGCATTAGTCACAGATGGGGTTTTAAACTGTACTCTGTAAAAGAATGGCGAATGACTTACACTGCCCCCATGTCCTGCCTCTTAAATGCAGACCTAGGTTGCTGGAGCTGGAAAGAGTACACTATGATCGTAAATAAAAAGAGACACATTTGGAACCTGCCCTCAGACTGAAGCAACAATTGTTCAAAGAAAAGAAAATTTATGCCCATAACCACAAAATCAATCGATAAATATTTTGATTATTTCATAAACTTCATTCGAATAATTTTATTTGCTTCTCACCCGTAGAACAGACCTGATCGAGGATTTCTCAGAGTTTTCACTGAGCCACTTTCTACAGAGGACAATGGCGCCATTCATGCTTGAATAGAAAGTGGTGCCACAAATGCAAAGCCTCTATACGCCTCCTCCTCCTCACACATTCAAAATAACACAGGCGTCATATAAGAACTCCTGGAGGTGGCATGATGCAGAGTAGATAACTAGACCATTAGATAACCATACCGCATTGAAGCATCACACCACAAAAAACGGTCCAGGACTCTACATGAGGAAAATAAAGAGCAGCCTTATATATTAACAAGCCTGTCAGCGTGGCCTTAGTGTCCTCCACTTCAGTACCTCTGAGTGGGCATGCTTACATTTCCCCTCAGTCATACATATTCATTATAATTTTCTTGAGTGAGACTTTCCCTTCTTAGGAAACCCCTTATTTAGACTGTGTGAAGTCTTTACTGTAAAAAGGGAATTGAATAATCAAGCTCACCCAGGCAGCGAGAGAACGGCTCTTTACAGGATAACTTGAAGCAAATCAAATTAGAAATGTAGTAAATATGTGGTTTAAAAATGGCATTTGGGCAATCTGAAATGCCTGGCAGATAAATGATTCCATAAATATAGCCATTACAGCACAATGCCAGAAACATCAATAGCTTTTTTTAATTATTATTATCTTATGTTGGGCTTTTTTTTTTTTTCAGTCCATCTAGGAGGAAGAACCAGACCTATAAAGTATTGTTCTGTAGTGTGGAATACAAGCGTATTGCCTTGTTTTAGAGAGGCAGAGGTAATGCTGTAAACATCGCTTGTTTACGGAGTTTTGATCATTTTTCCAACCACTCTTAGGTGCATCTATCAGCTTTGCCGTTTTAAGAACAGCACAGCGCAGGTTTGCAGACTTGAAATGGCCCCAATTCCAAAAATCCAAAATACTACACTTGACGTTTTACTTCGCTACATCTTCTCATCTTTTTCCTTCTTCCATACAATCCTTTGATCTTTCACTTCTATCTTATAAGCCTGACAGAGAAGAGTTAGGATACAGCTGTGTATCAACAGCAGAGCACACAAGGACACTACACAAGGTATGTAACACAACACCCCCTCTAAAACCCTTCGTCACCCTCAAACCCCCCGTTTCCATTTCCTCCTGTGTCTCTCTCAGAGTTTCCACCTCTGTTTCCTTGCCCGTGATTCCAGGTTCCCAGTACCGCCACAGAAAGCTGACCACCGCCACCACGCCAGCTATGCGTCCTGTTTCTGACACATGCCAACTTAGCCTGCTGCACTAGTCAGCTGAACACAGATCCAGTTTCCCCTTCTTAATACCCCTAACAAGCCTTTTCCCTCAGCAGCAAAGTGTCAAGCCTATCAAAGTCACCTAACGGGATGACTCTGCCTTCCACACACAGCAACACAAAAACAAAGGGAAAGTACGAGCACTAACTAAGATACACGCTCTCATTTTTTGCCATTTCTCCTCATTTGCAAGATATAAGATGCAAACAGATACCGACTAACAGTCACAAGATGGATACCTAATTATATTTGCATGGTTTGTTTTCATCACTTTCTCAGCGGGATGGTGAGAAGTATGAAGGAAGACATATGGTTTGATGCCATTTCTTACACCAGGATCCATGAGCACAACTAAATGACAGAATCCTTGACAGCTAATACTGGTGTAGAAAATGTATTTCTATTAACAGGATACGAACCACAGGCTTTCAAGGTGGCTGTAATTAAACCGTCTCAGCTAACTATAGAACATTCTACAATCTTCCTCTTATTTCTAAAATCCTTGAAAGAGTGGAAACAGTAAACAGATTATTTGCAGAGGAATGGCATATTTGAAGAGTTTCAGTCAAGATTTAAAGTACATGGTAGCATAGAAACAGCACTAGTGAAGGTTAGAAATGATCTGATTGCCTTTGACAGTGAACTCATCTCTATGCTCGTGTTGCTAAACCTCAGTGTAGGATTCAATACAGCTGATCATATCATTTTAATACAGAGACTAGAATGCATTATAGGTATTAGAGGAACTACACTATAATGGTTTGAATCATATCTATCTGGTAGACAGCAATTTGTTTATGTAAAAAACAAAAAGTTAGTCATGGAGTTCCACAGGGTTCTGTACTGGGACCAATACTATTTAAATTATAAAACACTGCTTTATTTATTTCTCTATAAAGCCAGTTGTTTTAACACCTGTTAAACAACAGGTATGTCTTAAAGACAAACATCTGGATGAGCTCCAATTGTCTTCTCAAGTCAGACATAACTGGTTATTATATTTGGAACTAAACATCTTAGAAACATGGCGTTTCACGTATCGTGGATGGCAGTAACCTCCAGTAACAGTGTGAGGAATCTGAGTCATTTTTGATCAGAATATGTTATTCAATGTTCACATTAAACAAATATTTAAAAATGCTTCCTTTCACCATCACAATAGCTCTAAAATTAGAAATATCCTGTCTTGAGGTGATGCTGAAAACCTATTTCATGCATTTGTTACTTCTAAGGTAAACCACTGTTATTCACTATTATCAGATTATTCTAAAAATTGCCTGAAAAGCCTTCAGTTAATCCAAAGCACTGTCGTTAGAGTACTGACAGCAACTACAAAGAGAGCATATTTTTCCACATATTGACTTCTCTCCATTGGCTCCCTGTTAAATGCAGAATCAAATTTAAACTCCTTCTCTCCACATACAAAATTTTTAAGAATCAGACCCCATCATATTTTAAAGACCTCATAGCAGTATATTATCCTAATGGAGCACACCGCTCTCAGACTGCTGGCTTGCTTGTGATTCCTAAAGTAGAATGGGAGGTAGAGCCGTCAGCTTTCAGGTCCCTCTTCTGCGGAACCAGCTCCAAGTTTGGACTTGGGAGACAGACACCTTTTAAGATTAGGATTAAAACTTTCCTTTTTGATAAAGCACATATTTAAGGCTGGATCAGTTGTCTTTGAGACATCCTATAGATATGCTGTAATAGGTTCCAACTCCTGTGAGACACTGAGCATTGATTTATTTACCACTGACGCATATCATTACATTTTTGTCCTCTCTCTCCCTTAGAGCAGATAGGAGTAAAACACACTTTTCTCTTCCTGAGCCTGGTTCCACAAGTGAGATCTTCCTGTTAAAAGGGAGTTCTTCCTTCCCACCCCCGTAAAGCCCTTGCTCATCAGACATTTGATTATTGGAATTTGCTTCCAAATAAATAGAAACCCAACAGTATTGTGATTGTGATTTGGCTCTATATTTAAAAAAAATAAATAAACATTAATTGAATTTAAGGGTGCAGCTCTTTATGTCCCATTTTATACCAGTACTTATAAGAAAGAGATACAGGCAGGAAAGGGTCAAGTCCACCAAAAACACATGATAGCAGAGCAGTGGGAGTGAGAAGGGTCATTCATTTGAATATCAAGGACAAAGGATATCACTCTCACTCTCTGTTCTTTCTGTCTATCAACACAAAAACATCCTCTTTCCCCCCAAATTCTATAAAACCGCTGAAGACAGATCGGCAGCATGACTGCACTTGCTTTCTTGTATTTGTTCTTTGGATTAATATTAACATATCTCCCATGGCAAGTAAGCATCGTAAAATAAAACACTGTAAGCTGTGTTTTGCACACTCTGCGAATTACTTTTAAAACACCCCTCTGTTCAGGGGACCACTTGGACTATACACAAGTGTGTGAGTCACGTATGAAGCTGCCTTTAATACAAATGTGAATCAGCCATGATTCATCTACCCCCAGCAAAGTAATGGGCAGTCACCCTTATTATACCGTTTCTATATTAGTCCTGCAGACAGGTTACCTTCATCATGCCACGAAAATATTTGATGTGCAGCATAAACACCTAGTGTAAACATTTAGGAGGATAAATGCAGGGGGGAAAGGATCCAAAATTGAAGAGGGCACGCTATCTCAATCTTAATGTCCATGAGAAGTCCCAGTGGACTTCATTAGGAGTGCAGGATCATATGCGTGGTTACATAAAACTAGTGCATGCCATGTGAAATCCACACTTTCACCTGAGAACTTAGCAGCTGACATGGCATGAGGATACTTTTGTGTTTTGCTAAAGCTAAATAAAATGAAGGAACTGCTCTCCTCTCATCCCACCCATAGCTGTCATGCAACATCACCCCCTTCATTCAGGAGTGGGAGGTAGTAAACAGCCAAAGGACAATAACAATCATGCTGAATTCATTCTAAAGGCGCTTCAATCGGCACAGCACTCCGGGGTGTGCAGAAGATGTACATAAAAAGGAAACCATCAGATTCAGCCAAGGGAAATGCAGCTTGCGTTATGAAAGCCATTATAGAACAAGAAGTCAGGTCAGTGCCATAGAAATACACAAGGATGTGTATAGCATGTGCATCAGTGATTATGTACGAGCAAATTCAGAAAGAAAGACTGTTGATGGGCCAGCAGACATACCTTGTGTTTAATGTTGCAGTGACAGCAAACAGTCCACAGATATTTGAGGGTCCTCCATAGCAGAATGATGAAGAGACCCCCAAAAAACGTCACCATGGAGGAGGCGAGGAATGCCCACCACATGCGCTGGCCATTATTGTCGCAGGGCACCTCGGACGAGTACGGGATGACAACGTCTGCCATCCTCGATATTAAGATCGAAGAGTCCGGATTTATGTTATTATTGATATTGCTTGTCCTCATAGAGCTGTCGCTTCCATGGGGAACCGTGCCATCTGCCTCAGCTAGCATTTAGGAGCCTTGGAGAGCCTGTGCCAGCGTCCCCAGCCCCACTCACCAGCCATATTGCTTGGGAAAAATAAAAACAAATCTCCCTCTTTGCTGTAGATTATGTTAACCCACCCGATAAAGTCTCTTTCTGTTTTTCACAAGCCTGTGAATTGTTTGTTCGTGACAGAAGGAGACACGGCACACGCGAACCTATCCAAAACAGCGGGTCGGTGGCCTTTGGCGAGAGGCATTTAAATCCGCAATAATGACGAGTCTTAGGCGCTTCTCCTTCCAAGGGGGTTCTCTGGCTCTTTCACGCAATATGCCATGGCAGAGACGGCATCGTTTGCAGCCGTCGAGGCTGCCACTGATATTTCGGTTAATGTAAACACAGCGCCGGGGAAAATTGTTGCAGCCCAATCTCAGCGAGTCGACCTCTAGCCGTCTTCCATTCAGGTATCCTGTCGATTCACAGGCGGAGAATCGATTTCATTTTCTTGAAGCGTCAATCGAATGTGAGAGGACTGGAAAAGAAAAAAAAAGGTTGGAAAAGCTGGGGAGAAAGTGCACATGAATCTAATTTAATTCTAGAGGTGTGTAGCTGTCACTGCAGAGAACAAGACTGTTTTCTTGCGGGCGTTTTCGTTGTCAATTCTGCGTAAAAGGGCTGGCGCTCGGGTGGTTATCGCTGTCTCCATTCGGTCCCCTGCAGCCCTGGCACGGAGCGGCCAGCTGAGAGCGCCTGTCAGATCCGCTCCAGAGGAGAGCGGGGAGATTTACAGGTAGGAGGGCGGAGCGAAGCGCTAATAATAAAGACGGACAGAGGGCAGAAATACCGTTTATTCCAAGTACCGACCGGAGTCCGCTGCTCGGACGTATAAAGAAGAAGTGGGCTACAGTTGCGCCTTTGCGTCTTTATTGCACGCCAGTGACGCACGTCGCAAAACAAGCAGGGATTTTAACAAAGGGACTGTGTTGATCAGCCACAAACTTCAGTATCCTGATTAACATAAAAAAAAACCGCTAACCACTCCCACCCCATCCCCACTGGGTTCTTATACAAGGCAGCATAAAACAGCCTGTATGGATATTATTGTAATGAGTGTTCATTAAGGATAGTGCTCCTTTTTCAATTACTGAGTCTGTGGATTTTCATCTATGCATGGTTCCCATTTAAAAAACTGAACTTGGGCCACAGGATAAATGCCCCTCCCAGTTACTGTAATATGCTTAGGCTTTTAGCTCACATATTGGGTCAAAAACAGGTGTGGATTGGTGATGACGGCAAGCTATGACTAGCAGTAGTTTATGGCTGCCCTCAAGTAACCAGCCAGAGCAAAGGATATGTGGATACAGCTGGCTTAGGGCCCTGAATAACCACTGACCCCTCTAATGAGCAGCAGACAGGCAGGTGCACACAGCCACCTGTGTCACAAGGCTCCAGACTTCTTAGAGATCGTTTGCAATGAAGTCCCATCAAAATGTCTTTCATAATACTTAACTTTAGCTGACAGCTCAGCCAAAGGTTTCTTCTGGACTGCGATGATTGCAATGCCCGGATTAGCAAAGATCAAGGAAAGGAATATTAACAAGTGTTGCTCTAAGCCAGTCGTTTTAGGGAATGAGTTTCACCATACAAATCCCATGAAGCCTGGTGGTATGAGACCTAATGTCAAGCACAGATTGTTTGAAAAGGTAAACATGCCGATGCATGTGAAGAAGACGTGTGGTAAACTGGAAATATCAGTGTTTCAAAAACAAAAGCACCTTTAAATGCTACAAATCTGTTAAACTGGTGTAAAACACTGAAGACAAAGCTGTCTGTAAATGACAGCACTGCAGAGTTATGACTGTCTGCAGAAGCGCCTTGCAGAACAACACTTTACCCACCTTTGGTTCACATATTTAATAAGAGTAAAAGAAAAAGAGTAGCAACCTCCAAGTTTTTTTGTTGTTGTTGTTTTTTCTTAATCTTGTGATTTCCTATTTCCTTCCTTTATTTACACCAAGTTTGGTGAGAATCAGACAGGACAAATGTTAAAGCACACCTTTATTCAAGCAAGATTTGATCAGCAAGTCCTCAGCCTGGGACACAACTGTTCAAGTACAGGCATTAATCCACAGCTCTGAAGTCGTCCTCCTGCTGGTAAAACAGTGAACTGTCCCATTAAAGGCAAATGATGCTGCCCCACATTAGGTCTGCCATCATGATGCACTGCCAGGAAGCAAAAATGTTGCTTGAACTCAGGGTAGACTGGTGAAATGATAATAACTTTTAATAAGATTTCAAATGCCTTCAGATGAAAATATGTATTAATGCTCATTTTATAATACCTGGTTGTCAAATCTCATGAAAAAAAAGAAAGCACCCATAGCACATGTCCCATAATAAATAGTGCTGAGGGTTATACTGTTAGAGGGAGCTTCAACTGGTCTTTCCTGATGAAAGGCCAGCTGTTAGGTGAGTGGTTCCTGTGGGCCAGCAGAACTTTCACTCAAGGATGACGAGGTGGACAGACGATGGGATTGGCTTTAAAGCAGTCAGGTGGTAATCTGCAGGACATTTTGGAGATGCTGAAGTCAACATGCCGGAGAACCAAAAGACGGCCAATCGAACAAATCTGTCCCACCGAGTGTAAAACATGCCATCTCACTTCAACAACGAGATGTGACGTGAGCCTGGAAAGGCCACGGATCACCAGTGCGGACTACAAAGATCCTTCGCTGTCAGACTTCAGACTTATCGTGTTCAGTTGAGCTGTCAGCAGCTGTCTTGAAACAGACACCCCAACAGGAAGGTTGGAGACCATACTCCTTTCTAAAACAGGCACGAGGAGACTTGGAGGACATAAAGATCTTGGGCACCGCATAGTAGAGCTGCACATAAAAGTCTATCAGATTTAGGGAGTAATTTGAGGCCAACATCTCGAACAACATTCTCCGGAGAGCATTTTCACTGCCATGTTTATTCTCACCATTGTACAACTACAGCACATGGCCTGATATCAGAATCAGAATACTTTATTAATCCCCAGGAAAATTATATTGCTGATTATGCAGAATCAGTGCTGGATGTTTTTGAGACACTGGGCGCTCTCTTGCCTCAAGGAATCCAACAGGCAGCTGTAGGGTGGTCACTCGCTGTGATATTATTGGTTAGAGGGCCACATGAACCCGGATGAAGAGCTCAGAGGTATCAGACTACAGTAGCTGCAGAATTCCAGCTGCATGGAACATGATTCTCATATCTTATATAGATCTGGACTATTTGTTCATTTTTGTAAGGAACACCTTGTTTTCCAAGCAAAACTCTTGTTTGTGTTAAAGAAATGATAGTGAAGTCTTGGTACTTGTCTTTAATGGAAATCTGATTGATTTTTTAAAAATCCAACATGAAAGAAAAGATGCTGGTAGAATGTAAGAATTCAGTGCCAGATTGGCCAGCATAAACATCAAGATTACACGGGTCAGTCACAATCAGATGGCAACACTGGGCTTAACAGTGTAACACAATGCTAATTACAATAAATAATATTATTTTATACTAGCTGGTGTTCATAATATACCCAGTGATAAAGTTCAATTCTATACAAATATCAGCGCTCCAAATTATGATGTAACACACTTATGTCCAAAAGAAGGTGAGATCTTTGTAGTAATCTAAGAAAAATCACTTTTAGCAGTTTGATTCATCGTGTAGTGATTTACACATTCACAAAAGATCCACAGTTTGATCCCAGGGAGACACAAATCCCATTGGATTGTGTCAAAAAAGTAGCCTAGAAGTCTGATGTAGCTCTAAAGATCTCTGAACCGTTTTAATCAGGTAGTCGTATTAAGTGCCTCATGTTTCTGTATTTGATAAACAACCAGTTTCTCAAATTTAGGAGAAAAAAAAATATTGGTGGATATAATGGAGCTGCCTTTACAAATGACTTGGATCAAACCAATTTGCATGACTTGTCTCATGCTGCTCATACTGCTGCTTTTACGCCACTGAAATGACGCTGAATTGTATACTTTTCTTAAGTTCCAGGCAGATATTTTCCAATTGCCTTTTCTCATCTCTGAAACCATTTCATCTGCTAATTTCAGTAAAACAAGATCCCTTTTGTCTTTAAACATCTCTGTAGGACATGGCTGCATTTTTAGTGGCGCATTTGCTCTCAGCTCTCCTTTAAACCATGATCCAAAACATGAAGATGAGACTGAGAAGCATGCTGAAAATCGTACATGTTGTACCAACAGATTTTCTTTGATACTTCCCAAACATAAATAGTCATTTAACCAAAAAAAAAAAAAAAGACTCAATGAGCCCATGTTGTGATACAGAAAATGAGCTTTATTCTCATGTTAATGTCTTAACATACAAATCACATTCTTTTTAATAAAAGAAAAATTCAATCAGTACCTGGCATCTACACTCTTTCTCTACAAGTACAACCACTTCACGTTGTGTCCTGCTCTCTAAACATACGCTACCTACTCATAAAAATAGTAACATTACAGTTTGCTTCTGTTTACTCCTTTAGCCCAATAGTCAAACACGTGGACCTTTTTGTTTTGTTCGAAAAACTGTGCAAGAGTAGATCCCTTTTTAATATTTCAAATAAGAAGTGATCCTTTCCCCCTAATTACGAATAAAAAGGCCATCAATGAAATGTAAGGAACTGATGTGATACATAAAAACATGAATTAGCCACAACAAAAATTAGAGTACCTATTCATAATCTGCTGGAAACCTAAGAACAGTGACATGTTTAAGGTTCACAGAAAAAACAAGTGCAAAACAGAAATAAAGGATAAAGTTGACTTAGTGGATTTTGGCACAACAAGATACAGGATATGGTGTGATGGAAGGGCAGAATATCTGTAGTCAATATTTTTTGCTTCTTGAATAACAAAAAAAAAAATTAAATAACAATGAAAAGTCAGTAACATTTAAACGGATCAGAGGAAACTCCAATAAGACATTACCCTGCAAATTTTGCTTCATAGTGTCTCTGAATGAGTACGTAAGTGACTGGCAACGAACCACAGAGAGAAAAAAAAAAGTCTTTAAAAAGAAACATTAAAAAAGAAAAACACATGCTAATACCTGCTAAGACGTGACTTGACTGCCAGACGTTCCTAGGCATATGACCTAGTGAAAATACATGTACTATATATTTATATATATATATACTTATATATATATTTTTGCTTGTTTTTTTTCTGTATCTGCATACTGTATAAGGTATACTCTATAGTGTTGTTAAATATATGTTAAAGAGAGAATGATAGTTACACAGTGGTCTGTCTAGCCCTGGAGTGCATTCTGAGGAATTGACCCGTTGGTCGCCGCTTCGACCTACCCTCCAAACCTCGCCATTGTCATGCGCTCTACATAGTACTGGTCTCAAATCAGCCTCTGAATCATCTAGTCCACCACGGGTGAAATGATACATCGGATCCAGATTAGAAACTCAGAGAAACAAAAGAAAGAAAGAAAGAAAAGAAGAAGAAAAAAATCCTCAGCTTTCTGGCTAAGTGATCAAGGGCTGGTTTCAGATCAGGCCTTTTCTCCGAAGGCACTTCCGAAAGGCCCGTAAGCTGTCCACACACCCAGCTACTACAGAAACACAATGCATAGAGCAAACATCAATGTGTTTAGAGTTTTGATGGCCATCACTGCTGAGATGGGCTCAGTAAGACCACAGCTACATACTTCAAGAGGTTTGATACTTCTTTTCTTTTTTTTTCCTTCTTTTTTTCCTGTTTTGTGATGAAACACCACGCGAATGTGATGTCTGATCCTGGCATTACATTTCTATAGCATAGTATCAATGTGATTCAACTCATTTGAAATTGTCATTACAATTGTGTACAACAGTCTCAATG